CTCACTTAGGCTTGCCATGGTCTTTGTTATCTTAGGATTACCTGTCATTCACCTTACTGGTATTCTGTCATCAATTTCACTTTATTGTTTTTCTTCCTATTGACTTGGTTTGTGTGTGGAATTCTTGAGCCGGAGTCCACACAAACTTATCCCAATATTGTACATACTTATTGTTTAGTTAAGTATTTCTTTTAGGGCTTAGTGATATTCTTTTTAAATGTTTATTTTCAGTTTACCGGTAGTTCTACATCTGTGTTAATTAGGTTAAGTATCTTGTTCAATTAGGCTTAATAAGGGTCTGTTAGTTTTGGTTTCTCCATGATTCTTTTTACGAGTTTATCGATATTTAAATTTTAAGTTATTTATCTCTTCTTTAACACAGAACATTATATCCATATATTTATTTCACAACACAATTTCTTACCATTAATTTTGTTTAATTTATACTTTATACTTCTTGCCTTTAATTTCATTTAACTTATAATTTCTACTTCTTACAATTAACTTTGTTTGTGAGGGCCCCAATATTGCTCATCTTCCTCCTATAACAGCGGAACCCATTTTCAGGCGACCTAGATTTTGGAGTGCATTCCAAGCCACTACTGCAGAATGTGCCAGGCCTATCTAAGTTTTTTTCGACATGTTTCTTCCCCTTACTCCACTTCTTTGTCTGTTATTTTTTCCTTTCTCCTTTATCCCTTGGGTTTAGATTATGATTTGATTGGCCTTTTCTTCCTTGTATTCTTCTTCCCATCTTCTCTCCTATCATGTACTTCCCTTTTTCCCGGTATGTCTACCCTGCCGTCAGTTGGAGGTACTTTGTCTGTCGAACACTGGGACTACATCTCATATGTTCATCTCCCATTCTCTGCTTTGGGTAGCTGTTAGGCTGCCATCATTTACCTGTTGCCATCTTTCAATCTTTCATGAGACTGTGACTGGGGAAGTTACCTTGCCTTTTCTTATATATATACCTCTTATTCTTCAGGGGTATGTCCTTCTTTTTCTTACTGGAACCTGCTCTGTGGCAAGTGGTGCTTGACCAAGTATTCTTTAAACTTAAAAATTCACACTGTTTAGCCATCTCAACTGGCATATGTTCCATGGCCATGCAGTGCACACTGTTGAGATGGGATGTTCCACAAGATTGCTTATAGGTTATCCTTGTAATGTAATTGTTTCATAAATATGCCCATCCCAGACCATATTACCCATGGACTACATGGATAAAGCAGAAGGGGATAGCTGCCCATCGTTGCCATGTCTTGAATAAATTGGTATGGTCTGCTTTTAAAAATAGGATTTCGTGGTCACCCGTTACACTGTCTCGGGTGATGTTCCTCCGGATTCACTAATGCATTCTCACTCCCCTTTCTTGTAGTGGAGAATGGGAGTCCTTACCATTTTCCTCCTGAATAGTTTAATGAAATAAAATATCAATATAGAAATATCATTCAGTGCAGAGTAGAGCGGTGGTGTTCTGCTGGTGTAGATGATGTGATATCCTCCACTATAATGCATACAAAAACCAAAGGAGTGAGACATCAAATTGCAGTTCACCCCTTTGATTGGGATCCCTCGTCCTATCCTCATGTGGATGTTGGTTCCAGTGACTGGGTTTTGGAGTTAGAGTAGAACCAATCAACATAAGTCTTTGCACATGTCTATCTTCCTTCCTCAATTATACTCCATCTGTGTTGTGGGTCACAGTAGAAGTAGTTGGGATTGTTATAGTTCTTTTCCTTCTACTTTCCCTTCGTGTATCTTAGTCCAAGGATGTTATTGCACCTGGGCTGGTTCCAATCAGTTTCACTGTTGAGGGAGTTGATTTCTTTATGGTAGACATATTTTCAATACTGGATGTCGGGTTTCTGGATCGATATATTATTTTGTATTCTTAACATGTGCTCTGTTCCAAAGTCAGGGGTTTGAGATCCTCTCTGGTCTCTTGAACTTGAGGTGAAGACAGTATGATTTTCATTCTATCCCCATGTAGATGTTTGTTTCCAGTGGTATGGGTTTTGGATTCAGTTGACTTGCTGAGTGTGCTCCTCTGTTTTTCCACCCATCTATACCACACCCTTGTCCGATGGACGAAGAGTATACCTGGTTCAGACATGGTCTGGTCTCCTACATCAGATCGTCGGATCTGACTCTCTAGTCTCAAGGTTTGTCCTTAGGACACTTTCGAAGGAAGCTTCTTTTCTTCACTCGCACAGGCCCCTCCACTTATTCAATGTGGGATTCTAGCTATTTATGTGAGAGGAGTTAATGTATCCCATCAAAAGTTATAATTTTTCCTATATTGAAAATATATTTCCAATAGGTTCTTACCTCCTATCACACTTCCCACCCATCCTCTTCACTGAAAACCAGTGCTTCCACTTTCTGCCCAAACTTGAAGTGATAGGGAGTTGCATCCATAATGAGAGCATGTTGCACTTTCATTGGTGGAGGGTTGTCGCATGATGATTTGCAAGAGAGACACATTTGAATGAGTCATTTTCAATTCGAGGGGAGGCAGAAGGCTTGTGGTATGTGTGAAAAACAAATGCATATAGAGGGCAGCACTGAATGAGAATAGCTATTTATGTGACAGGAGGTAAGTACCTATCAGAAATATATTTTCAGTATAGGAAAATTATAACTTCCATCCATAAAGATTAAGCAATTAGAATTTTGTCATGAAAACAAAGTTAGGATCTTGGATTTCACATTGGTATTTTAACAAAACTAGTGGTTCTTTTCATTTAGTGTTTTCTTCTTTTTCTTTACTTCCTGTTGTTAGTGGGCCTACATTCTCTGCTTTGCTGGTTATCCATGAAATACCACAGTAGAATTTAGTACCTTAAAATATTTCCTAATAGCTGAAAGTGATGATTTTATTACTTAAGTGCAGCTGCTTGATTAATTTTAATATAGTTTGATCAGTTGTTTAAAAAAAACTCAAATTTACCTGAATATTATAATGGATAATGAAATTATCTTTTTCACGGTTGCAAATATAATGAAATATCCCAACAGGGCTGAAATATAATGAATTTCCGATAACAAGAATGCAGTAAAAACATTTCAAGCAAACTATATTGAAACCTTTCTATAGTATCAATAGGATCTGCAAAGTCTCATATAAAATGTTGGTTGTTTATGAAACCTTTCATATTATAACCTCTGTAACTTAAAAACAAAATAAAATTTAAACTTGTCCTTGTTGCGAATTACCTTATTCACTGTTGTAGTTACTAAAATAGTTCTTTGTTATATAGGTGAATCCTTGTGGAAAAACACTACTGCTGAACTAGAGACTGATTATACTGTAGTCATGGGTCTAGAAAGAAATACTCTCTATGAGATGAGAGTAGTATCTGTTGATGGTCCATTTGAAACTCCAAGTCTTATTGTTGAGGTAGAAACAGAAAGTTATGGTAAGCGGTTTCTTACCGTAAAGATAAAAATCAAATCTTACTTACTGTAAATTCTAATAAAAGGTTAGATTTGTAGAATGTCTCTTAAGGTTTATTACTTGGTTCAAAGAGCTTATAAAAACAGTTATAGTAATTTGAATTTCATTGTTTTTTGACTTTGTAATGTAATTATAAATAATAATTTTAAAAAATAGTTTAAGTATCAGAATTTTCTGTCAAGTGATTCTTTGTTCTTATAATCTGTAAAATAATCAAATAAGCCCTACTTATAGTGCTACAGTTGTTTGATATGCATTTCAGTTTTGATTATTAATAATTATAAAATGGAAAAGTAGAATTGTTAAGATCAAATAGTATTTCATTGAAATAAATAAAAAAATAAAATTGAATTTTTGGACACCAACTCAGGCCATTTTGTTCGGATAGGGTACTGTTGTGTACTAAAAAAAAATAATTTTAACTTATGAAAATCAGATGAGCATAAAATCATTTTAGAATGTCCAACAATTCTAACTATAAGAGAATCTCATAACTTAAGTGTTAACAGTAAAAAAAAGTGGAATTTACTACTGAAAAAGTAAAAAACACCAAAATTAACTCATTTACCATAATGCCAAATACACAGTTTTGAGTCTTTGAACTAGTATTTAACTGAAAAACATATTAATTCATGATGTAGCAAAATATCTTAGCAACAGAAGGGGAGGAGAGTTTGAAATAAGGGGGATCAAAGGTCAAGAAATTGATGCAGGCATAATGAGATAAAACAATATAGTATTATGAATATATTTTATGAGGTGGATTTGGATTAATTAAGAAGTGTTTTCATGTATATAGCTTTGTTTTATTCATGTTATATATTCTACAATGTATGAAATGAAAGTAATTTAATCTGGGGATAAACTTGGAGTCATAAAGATCACTCTGAATAATTACCTTGTTAGTGTGCTTCTCTTGGTCTGTTAGTTTTATTTATTTATATACTGGTCAATTATTTTATGTATGTTTTATATCAATCAGTTATTTAGTTTATATTTTTAGGGGTGATAATAATAATAATATTATACCTTTGGCATAAACAAGGTCAGTAGGAAGATTTGTTTGAAGGTATTCATAATTATAAAAAACATTAAAAAACAAAAACATGTGACAAGTTATTCTCAGAATACAAACTTGAGACATTATGCTCTAGGTATTACCTGAATAACCATTGAAGGACACTACTAACTAAATCCTTACACAAGGTTGTACTTAAGTAACAGGATACACCTATTGTTGAAAATAATAAAGGAACAAAAGTAACTTGAAACAAGATCAACTTAATAAGTTTTTTTTACCTTGTTTTATGCATGTGTTTTGGTCAAAAGTGTATTAGGAGCTTAAAGAATGGTAGCAAAAATTAATGAGTGCAGGGAAAATCAAGACATACAAACCAACCCGAGCCGAGTTAAGGTACGGTTTTCTATTATGCAGTTTGACTGAATCCTTAGTCCGGTATACACACACACTGTGTTTATGTTAAGTATTTTAAGAAAGATTATTCATATTTAATCAAGTCCCTTAGGGATTTTCAAGATTTAGAAGAGTGTATAATAATAGTATTTCAACCACACCATATTCATTGCTAATGACATATTTTGGTCAATCCAGAGCTCTTCAGGCCAGCTGGGATACAACAAACACAGTACTGGTCGGAACACTATTTATATAGACCATTTGTTCCAACAGCAATTATTAGCGTGTGAATGTCATTTACAAGTTGGTGAAGCATGATTGTAATTAAATGTACTTGTCATAAGACATTATGTTAGGCCTATTATTTTCTTAATACTACATTCTTAATCTAGTCCCACAGGGATTTTCAAGAATTAGAAGAGTGTATAACAATAGTGTTTCAACCACACTATGTCTGTCATATCCATTGCCAATGATATGTTTCACCCAATTCAGAGCTCTTCATTTTGTTTTGGTCTATATTTTATTTAGCATAGTCTTAGTTAGTAATAGTTTTAATTTTACTCCATAATTGATATTTTGTTCTAACTTTCTGTTTAGTGGACTTACCCAGTGAAACTTTAAAGTTAATTCAGTTCACTGAATGTACCACATAGATAAAATAAAATGTATTTTTTTGTACTTGTACAAGCAATTATTACTAACGTCTGATCAACTAAAGAAAGCTACCTATGTAGACTGGAACTAAGCCTCTAAAACTAGTAATGTGAAGTGAATTAATATCTTGTTAATAGTGCCATAACTTGGCAACAGCACTTAAGAAATATATATTATAATGTCCTTATTCTTAATTGAAAAAAAACATGTAATGTACATTTAATGATTTTTTCAAAGTTAGAAAAACATAGGTGTCTTTTCTTTAATTGGCTGTTAAAAAAACAACGTTTTTTTGTGACAAATTGACCATATAACACAATTACACTGAATCATTGTAAAGTTTCCATCACTTGTTATATTTTTTACTATTCTCAGTTTATTACATACACATGGGGGTAAAAAAAAAAGTCAGATTATAGCTTTGTGCATGTTGTATATATATATATGTATCTTAAGTATTCAGTGAAGTAAGTACTCAACTGTTTTCACTGTAATATGTGCTGCTATGTAAATTTGTTTATTGAATCTTTATTAACTCTTTTCTTGATTATACAGGGGTACCTTCAGCTCAGGTAATTGACAGTGCAGGAACAGCACCATGGCTCATAGCCTTAATGTGTGCCATTGCCCTGGCTCTTCTTATTATAATCATAATCTGTCTCATTAAACGAAATGCCGGAGGAAAATATCCAGTCTACAAGAAGGAGGCGACTTTAGGTTCTGGACTGGATTACCCTGATGGTGGTGGTTTCCATGAATATAACAAACCGTAAGTAAACTTTTAGTAATTTCAAGGAAATCTTTATTTCAGCAATCAAATGAATATACCTTTCTTTTAGACTGGAACAGTGCATGTTTTGTAGACACCACCATTAATGTTTGTAGCTTATAGATTTTTGCAGCATATGATGAAACAATAACAGTAAGTACAAGTATTCCATATGAGCTGTGTCATGCAGCCAAAGGTTTACTTCTTTGTTTACGATATTACTTCTGTTTTTGTTTGAAGGCTTATTGCTTTAGCTCTGTAGTGTGTATAAAACTTTAGCTTTTTAATTCTGTCATGTGACTGAAAAATATAGACAGATAATTCATAGAGATGATATTTTTGTACTGTTACGAGTTCCTAGAAAAATAAAGATGAATTTAGTTCAAATTGCTTAAACCTTTTTCCTCATACTACACTGAATTTTGAACTGTTCTGATTTTATGTATTTTTGAAAAATATTTCAGTTCCAGTAACCATCATCCCTTAAAGGGCAGCAGAACCTCTCTTAACAGTAGCCTGGCAGGTCCAGGCAGTGACACTGACAGTATGGCAGAATATGGAGGAGAAGGAGACACAGGAAAGTTTACTGAAGATGGATCCTTTATTGGTCAGTATGGTCGAACTAAAAATGCAGAAGAAGAATCTAGGTTATCAACAGCAGCCACTCCACTCGTTTGAAGCTCTGCAAGTTGTTTTACACATTTCAGTCCCTTTTTTTATTCTGGAAAATTAGACATGTGTGCAAACTGTATGAACTAGAGACTGGTATTTTTCAATGCCTACAAATGATATAATAATTTCTAGTTCATAACTGTTCTAAATCGTAAGTTTCAAACATCAACAGTGTGGTTGTTTTTTAAATTTTTGATACTAAAGAAACTCCAGTGTGTATTCCACATTATAGATTTTCTTACAGTATGCTAATATATTTTGTTGTTTTGTAAGTGAGCTTGTGAGTACATTGTTATTCTGTTATAAACCCAGTACATAGAATTTACATATTGTTCATTAGTGTTAAATTGTTACGAGTAAAATAAATTCTAATAACATTTTGTGAATAACTGTTGAAATATAAATTCTCTTCCAAATCATGGATTATTTCTACTTCTAGTATGTTTCACATTTTATAAAAAGGAGTTTTTGATAAATTTGAACTGTGTGTTTAGTGCTGATGGATGCTGAAAGTTGTGTTAAACTTAGAAAAATTTATTATTTTTGGAATTTTTGTCTGTCATGGGCTTTTTTCTATTAATATTTTGAACTAGCTTAACAGAATCTCTAATTCTTCAATCTGAAATAATATTCTTTGTTTTACAAATTCTTTTACAATTAATCTTGTGTTTAGCTGTTACTAAAATTATTTTTGTAAATACTTTATAGTATTTTATTAATATAAAAACTGAACAAATACTGCCAGTAGATGATGGAGCAAGTGATGTTCCAATATTTTTTTAAACTAATATATAATTTACACTAGATTTTCCACAAAATTTCAGATAAAATTAATTTGAATGCTTATTATTAATTCCATAATCTATTTAGGAGTGGAATCTTTTGTTATTTTTACAGAAGATGGTTGTCAACTTTTAACTATATTACATTGTGTTAATTTCTCACAACTACCCAATTGCTTTATTAATCACATTTGTCACCTATCATAATAGTGAAATGTAATATTTATCAGATGTGTAGCTTTCAAAAAAAAAAGGGTTACACATGCTTTTCTTTTGAAGATGTGTTCAAGTTCATCATGGTAATTTTTAAAACAAAAATGTAATAAAAGAACACAATTCAACCATCTAATTTCCCTGTGGTATTCTAAATGCAGACTTTTGCTGTTTGGTAAAGGGCCCTTAAGGCCCTCTGCTCTGGATGAATACACACGATTAATGCCTCAAGTTCTGATAAATGTAAATAAGAGATAATTCACTTAAAATAAAGTTATATATGACTTATTAAAAGCATGAGTACAAGCCATGTTAGTTACTTAACACTAAATAGATTTAGCTTTACCTGATGTTTTCATACCTGTGTACTAAAAAAGTACATAAGATAATGCATCACATGAACTATCTTTCTAGATTTAGTACCTGAGCTTTTAGACAGTTTATAATATATAACACATAAATAAAACATTTTCAGATACTTTCAGCTATTATTAATAATGTCAAGTAAAAAGCTTGTGTAGTATTGTTGCTTTTGTTTGTGTAGGTGCTGCTCTCTATGTCATAAATTTGTTTTTTGTATTAACATCATCCTCATTATTCATTATTAAATTATGAATTTTATTTCTTTGCAGTAAAATTCTTCCTAAATTATAGCTTAACAATTAAATTTCAGCATTAAAATTATATGGTTATTTGCATTCAAAATTACACCAACCAAGTACTTAAATGACAACAATGTTAGAAAGTCAAATCTTTTGCATAATCTAGCTGGTATCCTGTGTAAGAGGATACTTGCATGTACAATTATTTTTAGGGAAAATAGGGGCAGAATGTCTTATATCTGTATTTGGAAACCGATTCAATTAAAATTTACTTTATTTTGAATTTCATAATAAATGGTTGAAAGAAACTTTAAAATAGTATTATATCTATGTATATCTCAAGTCTGGCTGGACCAGATAGTTTTGTAATATTTCATTCTTTTTTGATATCATCATTAATATGTGTATCCACCATATTTGTAGTTTTTACAATAGCATTTCACCAATTTGTTGGCAATGCTTGGTTTATGCTACGATACATTTCCATTAAAACAATTTGTTTTAATTGTCTGAAAGTAATATAATGTATTAATTACTGTTAGTGGATAAGCAAGAACTTGTGAATTAATGATGATAAAAAATGTATTCATTATAAAGAGCTTAGAATTTATTATGATAAACGTGTATTGTCCAAAAGTTAATTTGAAGCTAAACCTTGGAAAACTTTGTTAGTGAACAATAAAGTGTTAAGTCACGCCAGTCAATTATTTTGATAATCAAAATGTTTTTCATTATGAACTTTTGTTACCGGTCTCTTTGTAATACAATTATATTGAGTGCTTCTATGTCTAAAGCCCTTTTTACATATAATAAAGTTAAATATACAAACATTTCTTAGTATAAAACATACGATTAATTTGTTGAATTCAATAGTAAAAATTTTGCAGTGTTTCAACTATTGCAAACCTGGCTATCACCAGATGAGATAGGGAGATATTGATTAATATTCCTTTCTAGAGTATGTGAAGATCAGAAGTTTTATTACAAGGTTCTATGACAAATACTAAGAATTAGGAGCAGGTAACGGTGCTAATAATGCCCATTTTTTACTAACCATTTGTATGTTGTTGAAAACAAATCAAATTTCACCTTTTCAAAGAAATCTGGATTTAAAGATATTTAAAAAGAAAAAATCATAATATTAATCTATTTCTTATATGAAAAAATAGTGCAATCAACATTCATACTATTTGTATACTGATTCTTAGGATTGTTTAAAAGTATAATAAATGGATTACTACCTGCAATCACTCCACATAAGAATTTACCAAAAGCTAGAATCTTTTAACTAATGCATAAGCCCAGAATTAACTACAACACTGGTGCTTAGCAATTTTAAAAACAAATGATTACATTTCTGGTCTGTAAATACATTTCTGATACGTCTTAAAAAGCACTTTCCTCTATCCTTGGAACAAAGTTTACGAGTAAAAACAGTTTAGAAGTTATGTAGGAAAGTCAGGGAAGCATCTTAGTTTGGAAATTTTTCTGGATTTAAACACGTTATTGTTGGTTTGGGGACCATTTAATTTGTATAAATTATTTTCATATAAATGTTTAAAAGTTTTCAAACTGCAAGTTTTTAATTTTTGAAGAATATATATATGTATCTAACCTTGTTACAATGTAAAATAATATTAAAAAGCAGAGTTTATTTTATAAATCTAAGTAAATATTTGGTTGTTATAGCCATTCATTTTCAATAGAACATTTCAGTCAATTGCTCAATACAGCATCAAAATTTCAGATTTTTTAAACTCATTTAAGTTACGAGTATGATGTACAGTAATATTCTTGATATTTCATTCAGTATAGGCACTCAAGTACGGTAGACAGATTTTATAAACTATTTTCAAGTATATAATGTTGTAGTCACAAATGTCCATGATTCATTGCTTCTATGATTATTTTAAGTTCCCCTTTTAAGTTGGTGCCTTGGAAGCTTACCAACATCATTATTTCTGTAAATTTGTTGTTGTTTTTTCAAGGTAATTCTAGTTTAAAATTACTAAATAGATGGTTAAAAGCTACATTATTATTATAACAAGAGGCTTATTAGTTGATATTATTTGTGAATGTTAACATACGTGCACACAACTAAACGATAAAATCAAGGTGCTTAATAACTGTTGCCAATGTAATTTATCTGCCAAACCACTGAGGTAAATTAAATGTACCTGTCTAAAGCACTGTGTACTAGAAAAACCTTCCATACACATGCCTTTCAAACTTTGTACACATCTGAGTCTGAAATATAGACCTTCTGTACTCAAAATAAAAAAAAACCTGGAACTCTATTTCAAATCAATATGTACAATGTATGGAACTAAAAAACAGGCAAAATTATTTAAAACTTCCAGATATTTCATTAGAATAATTCAAAACTAATCAAACATTGACTGAAAATCTCTTACTCTTCTAATGTATTTCTTTAATGTTTGTAAAATTTTAGCTTAAAAAAAATGGGTTCAGGCTGATGTAAACCTATAATTGTTATGAGTTGCCATTATAAACACCTGTATTATAAAATCTAAATGAAAATCTATATATATAATAAAGTTTTTGGCAGTGTAAAATGTCTGATATTGTTCTCATTCCATGTTAGTAATGTCCTATTTTGATAAGGAAATATCTGATACACAGATAACGAGATCCTGCAGAAAAGATATAACTGACAAGAATGGATGTAAATGGGATGATCAATGAGAAAGAAAATTTAAAATGTTATATATATATATATATAACGCATGAGAAACCAAAATACATAATATTTTAAGACCTTGCACCATGAAAAACTCTGCCATTATATGGCCACGCCCTTTTTTATTATTGATTTGTCAACTGACTACTTTTACACTTTCTATTGTAGTTAATATGCATCGTAGGTACAGTGCAGGAGGATAACAAAGATGACAAATATGGCATGTTTCTTTTTCATTTTTTGTGTTCATCACATACTCTGCCAGTTACCATTTTTAGTAAAATATCCTACTTTTTCATGGCCACGGGTCTTAAGATATGAAATAAAAACTAGGATACAGACATTAACTGAAACTGAATAAAAATGCCTAGCTTGATAAAGACAATGTACTGGAAAACAATTGATAAATGAAAAATCAATTTGAAGAATGCCGATTGATCTGATAAAAAGAACACCACGGATGAAGAACATACTTAATTCACACCTGAGGCTTCTTAGTTGGAGAATAAAACTAAAATTGAACTAGTACAAAAGTGGCAAAACTTATCCATACTTTTTAATAGAATGTCTTTATTCATAAAATTTCCTAGTCCAGTTGCAGTATGTACAGAGTCTTGAACTATACTAATACTGCCTTAATGTTTTGTCGCTGACATGTGGAATAATTTGTTGAGCGAGCCTCGTAGGTTGTCTTTTGAGTTATTACATGTGAGGATAAGTAATTCTAAACTGGTTTGACTTTTCTCTTAATGTACTCTATCCTACCAAAAGTCATGGGACATGGGTAGTTATGAATAAAAATGCCTTTATTCCAAGTAATTAATAGCGTGTTGGCCCGCCTTTTGCCTTAATGACTGCTTCAATGCATTGTGGAAGACTGTCTACAAATTTCTGGTGGAAAACTGGTGGTATTGTTCTCTACTCCTCCTTTGAAGAATTAGTAAGCTCTACTACTGAAGAGGGCCGTCTTGGCCTTGCCTTAATTCTGTGTTCCATTTCATCCCAAAGATGTTCTATCAGGTTGAGGTTAGAGCTTTATGCTGGGCACTGCAATGTTCCAATGTTATTCTCTTCAAACCACGTGTTCACAATCCTTGCTTTGTGACATGGAGCGTTATCATGTTGGAAGGTGTAATGACCAGTACCATAAAATTGCCACAGTGTAGGACTCACAGAATTGTTCAAAACATCAATGTAGGACTCAGCATTCATGGATCCATGCACTGTGACCAGTGGACCTAGTCTATACACGAGTAGCACCCCCAGATCATAATACTGCCACCTCCAAACTTCACTGTTGGGACAACACGCTTGGGTAATAAGTGTTCTCCAGGCATCCTCCATACCCAACACGTCCATCAGACTGGAAAAGTATGTAGCATGACTTTTCGCTCCACAGGACCAATTTCCATTAATCCATAGTCCAGGTTTGGTGTGCCTTGCCCCATGCCAATCCACGGTGTGCATATGTTTTTGTTATCAATGGCTTGTGGGCTGTAGCTCTTTCGTGAAAATTCATGGCATGCAGCTCTCGACTTCTCATGGAAACACTTATAGGATTGCCTGTGGCTGCTCGCATTTCCAAACAGATTCTCTAGGGTCTGATGGCGAGATGAGGTAACCAGCCTTCACAAGGCTCGTCAGCTCCTGTCAGTCAGTATTTTACGTCTACCTGGTCATTTCTTGGGCTCATTGTTACCTGTGGGCTTCCATTTCTTCAGCACATTGCCAACTGTCAACCTGGGAATGTTTACTTTTGAGCAATAGCACGTACAGACATTTCCCCCAAATGACATCCAACTATCCTTCTCCTCTGAAACTCTGTTAGCTCTTTCCATGTACTCATTGTTCAGCATATAAGTTCGAAATTACTTCCAAGCTAACCGCTGATCACCTTTATAGGCTAAACTAATTCTATTATTGTGAAATTTAATTAACTAATTTGCTTGTTGGTTTTTTATGTATCCAGGAAGTGATACCATGTACTCATTGTTCAGCATATAAGTTCGAAATTACTTCCGAGCTAACCGCTGATCACCTTTATAGGCTAAACTATTACTATTATTGTGAAATTTAATTAACTAATTTGCTTGTTGGTTTTTTACGTATCCAGGAAGTCATACCATTTGTACAGCTTAACAAATCACAAACAATTGTCCTTAATACTTACTCTCTCCACACCACCCTCTGATAACTGCATACATAGACTCACAATAAGAGATGCAGACCAGCAATACCGATGTGACAGTAGCAGTAAGTTAGACTGGCATCCACCATAGAAGCTACAATCACGGGATACTTGATCGTAACAGATGTTTAAGTTTCCATGCTACTTACAAGAACAAATTCTTAAAAATGTATTCCTCAAAAACTAACATTCACAATAAAATAGTTAAACCTACCACAGTAACACACAGCACAATGGGGCCCGGCTATAACGTGGTTCGCTACAGCACAAAACACAGTATAATGCGGGTTTTTCTCAGACCCTAAAATTTTCATTTAAATTTATCCTTTCAGAACATACTTCCAGTCTTTTTTCATGATGTGTTGAATATTGTTGAAGTATAAATGATCCACAAATGACAAACTTCTGCCAGATAATACTCATTTCCACCCAATGAACAATTTAATATAATGAAGCTTTATTGTCAAACTTTCTCATTTCAGGTCACATATTATTTGAAAATATGAATTTAAATAAATGTGATATTTAATAGTCAAAAAACTATTCTGTATTAACTGCTGGATTTTCCATTACACTTCCATTGTTATCTTAATAATAAAACACCTAGTTGGATTTAGAAACAGCCAATGAGAAGGCAGTCTCATGACTAATTAAGGGGACTTAGTCAATAAAATTGGCTTGGCACTTTTGAAAGGACATCGTTATAATGCAGTTTCACCTACAACATGGTCTCACGATATGGATCCTGTGGACTGCATTATAGCAGGTCCCCAATGTACACTCAATAAACTTACAAAATGGAAGTAATATCAATGTACTTAAAAACCTTGTACTGGTTGAAAGTTAAGAGATTCTAAAATATACTGTCCTAGAATCTAGAAAATTAAAATACCCAAAGTTTCCTGAAATGATTTACTTTTTAGTTCACATAGTTAAAATGTAGTCACTTTCTCTAGAAACATTGATTTTCCTATACCTTAAGTATTTATATCACTCCTTAGAATTTTAAAAGGATCAAAAGTTTTATGTCTTGTTAGACCACTCTAGATGATCATCCAGAACCTTATAATACTGATCTACTTTATTTTTCAACATTTGTAAAAGAATAAAATCAAAGAGATATGTTGTCTAACTTTCATTCTAAACTAGTGATAATAATTGAGAACCCAAATTTTTTAGGAAATGCCATCTCTTCAAATGTTTAAAGAACTGAACTAAAAAGTTTATGCAGTCTTATACCGACAGTGTGAAACATTAAACCTAACAACATGGTGAAGAGATGACCCCATTACCTAGAAACTCTCTCACAGGAAAAACTTAAGACTACTAAATGATTATAACTCATTCTGATTTGGATATGTACATCATATTTTATACATTTCTTAATTTATGAACTGGTAAATACAGTACAAAGCTAGCTACTGGATCATATGTGATATGATTCACAGACAAATCTGCAAACATTTGGGCAGAAAATGCAAGTGTGTATTCAACATGATTGATCATACAAAGACAGGCGAAGAGTAGAAATTTAAGTTTTGAACACAGAAATTACTTGCATAGTAAATACCACTTGAAAAGCTTGGCTAATCAGAATGTGGGTGGAAAAAACATGGGGATGCACATGGAAATTCTTCTCAAGTGTTGACTGAGAAGTTACAGTGAATGTGGGCAATTTCTCTTTGTTTTTTATTAAAATGTATTTAATTTTGGATTGCTTCCTTTCCCTGTAAATCTGCCCTTTCTTCATGGTACTCTTACAAAATTAGATCTTCTACAATGGTGATGCTTATCTAACTCTTCAGATCTTCAGGATTCATCATCTCTAAGCATTTGTAAAAAGTTATTAAACCAACAGGTTTTAATGTTCTTACCACATGGTCATCCAATCTTTTCGTTATTAGGCTCAAATTATTTCTCATAACTGATAAATGGTACAACTTAAAATAATTGTTTGTTTGACTTAATTCAGTGAGATCATACTTATGCAGCACACAATACAATAAAATTTTATGTTACAGCATTTTGTAAATAATAATATTTCACTATTTGTACGAAGATGGTCATTCAGATATTTTGATCACATTATTTCACTGAATTTATAGAAAAAGATAGCCTGGGTGTACAAATCCAAGTAATAAACAAATTCAGTGGTGGAAGTAGAGAATGATTTGGTCTGGTGCATGAATTTAACTAAAGGAATAAATTCAGTGGTGGAGGTAGAAAACGATGGGCCCTGGTTCTTCAAACAACAACTGAATAAATTCAGGGGTAGAGGCAGAGAATGATTTGGTCTGGTGCATGAATTTAACTAAAGGAATAAATTCAGTGGTGGAGGTAGAAAACGATGGGCCCTGGTTCTTCAAACAACAACTGAATAAATTCAGGGGTAGAGGCAGAGAATGATTTGGTCTGGTGCATGAATTTAACTAAAGGAATAAATTC